ATACTCTCTGATAACTTGGATGGTAAAAGTAATCATTTCACTTTGATACATAACTATAAGAGGGTAGTGTCCATANGCGTGGAGTATACTCTCTGATAACTAGAATGATAAAAGTAACTATTTCACTTTGATACATAACTATAAGAGGGTAGTGTTCATAATTTTAAATGTCAGATAGATAATGTGTTTCTAGCCGAAATCACACGGAGATAAAAAAAAAAAAACAATTAACCATTATTTTAATAAGTATTTTTATAATTTTTGTGAGTCATTTTACAATTAAAAATTTACCACTTAAGTGGGTGATTTATAGGTATTTTTACTAGTATTATGATAATTATTATTACTTTTCTTCGGTATCACAATAGTGATAAAAATACTATCCTCATAACAATAATAAAAATATTAACAAATATAATAAATATTAATATGGTACTAATTTTTTTATTTTTGATACTACAGACAATTCCACAACATAAACTCTGCAAACATACAATCACCTATTTGTTTCGAGTAAGTTAGAAGTCTCTTGTCATTCTACCAATTGGGGTGAAGTATTCTTATCCACCACATATTGCCATTTCATGATTAGGTCTGTCTGCCTATTTTGACTGAAAAAACATAATCGTAAGCCATGAGAGCTCACCCAATGGGGGGATTATCCAGCAAATTTTTGATTGATGCATTCAAAGATGGTCCAACCTCAAAAAACAAAACCACTCCTTTTTGTTTGTTTGATTGAAGACTCATCACCAATCAACTCAGCTTTCATAGCGTCAGGCACCACATTAATCTATGGATTAGATCCTAATGCATCTTAACATTTCACCACGTCATCTCCTCAAATTATGCAAATAATATGGTGGAATAACACTTTGTACTTTCAAAGATATGATAATTTTTATTTTACGCTCTCAAAAATTAAGAGTCTCACGTTACTCACTTTGATTCCTTTAAATGATAATTGTGCGCTTTAGGTATTCAACACCATCAAATGTTCTATCGGCGATTTTGCACGTGCTACGTAGACCTGTCAATCGTATCGACTAAAACAGGTTTGTGTCGAATTTTAACGGATTTGTATCAAGAAGCACTCCACTCTTGTTCGATTCGTTCATTAATCTTGTCGTATCGGGTTTACTCATTTACGAAATAGTTAGCTCACCCTCTAACTTCTTGTCGTGTCATATTTTTTAACACCCCTAGCACTGTGTAGTGGCATCATTAATTTTTCAGAGATAAAATTAAATTATCAAAAATTTGTAATGTGGCATCATTCATTTTTTTTGGAGGCAAAATTAAATTACTAAAAATTTCATGAGATAAAATGATATCATGATATATTTGAATGCGAAAAAATCACACTGTCTTTTGAAAAATTTAGGGTGGGAAATGAGATTTTTATTCTTTATGAGGACAAAGGAAACTTTTTTAAAATTATTNTTCTTTAAATGATAATTGTGTGCTTTAGGTATTCAACACCATCAAATGTTCTATCGGCGATTTTGCAGGTGCTACGTAGACCTATCAATCGTATCGATTAAAACAGGTTCGTGCCGAATTTTAACGGATTTGTATCAAGAAGCACTCCACTCTTGTTCGATTCGTTCATTAATCTTGTCGTATCGGGTTTACTCATTTACGAAATAGTTAGCTCACCCTCTAACTTCTTGTCGTGTCATATTTTTTAACACCCCTAGCACTGTGTAGTGGCATCATTAATTTTTCAGAGATAAANCTATTATGACTTTAAAATTTAATCTAAATTATTAATCTAATAATGTGACATTTAACACAATTTAATAACATTAACTTGAGTGCAACTATAATAGCGGTATATTAGAACTATATCAGATGACTCATCGGTTAGCAAATTATTCGGAAGTTTTAATTCAAAAATGTATTATTATGCCACTAGTTTCTTATTTCAGATGAAGCAAGTTCGGAAACACCCAAAAAATATTTGAAAGAGACTTTAGATTGATGAAAAAGAAAGAGGAAGAAATTGTCTAAACAATTTGAACTGAAAATGACAACATATAAGAACAAATATCTAAACAATGGTAACTTATGGCATGGACCAAAGACCAAGAAAAACAGAGGAGAGATATGTTCACACGTAGCTTTGAGGTCAATGTGATACAATCAACCTGAGTTGCTGGAGAGAGACTTGAAAATCAAGCCCATCCAACATTTTAAGATCGATCCCAACTTTTTTAAATCAGCTAGTCTATTTTGGTTAAGTCGGTGACCTTTTGCAGGTATGGTATAGAAGAACAATTTTTCGGTACAATAGGTTTTTCCTAAAAACAGACTTGGGATAACCTTTCAATTACTAAATATAGTCCTAGTCTTTAAAGGGGTGGAGTGTTTTTTTTTTTTAAGTATATAGAGAAATTATTTACCTAATAAAATAAAATACTTGTAAGAAATACGTTCACACCTAGGTTGTTCAAGGTCAATATGACCTAATCAGCATGGAATAGGTAAAACTAATGCACTTGAAGATCAACCCAAGCGTGCCCAACAGTTTTGCTGTTGAGTGACATCAGGAAGAATACCTCCTGATTTCTTTTCAGAGAATAAATATTAGCAAGGGTTGAAACCCAGTACAACAAAGCCACGCAATGACCTTATTTTGGACTCAAACTTGCAACGTTATCACTNTAAGTGACATCAGGAAGAATACCTCCTGATTTCTTTTCAGAGAATAAATATTAGCAAGGGTTGAAACCCAATACAACAAAGCCACGCAATGACCTTATTTTGGACTCAAACTTGCAACGTTATCACTTCAAATCCGACCTTTTCATCGGAAAATTTATGCAGTGTTACTTACCACATTTCATATTGAATACTTCCAAACAACGACACTACTCTAAAGACATGAACATAATAAGAGAGAGCAGCACAAATGAAAGGAATTGAATTGAGAGAGCAGCACAATTGAAAGGAAATCGCCCACTAACCAGAATTGAACTATCCTGCAATCAACCACTAACCAAAATCGAACCCAAGAAGGAGCCGGTAGGTAGGTTCAAAAGAAAAGCCATTTGGTACAAATTTCATGTGTGCATCCCAAAAAGATAAGGAAACTAAGAAAGAGTCATTGCATCAAAAACTTGTAACTTACACAGAAAGATCGTAAGGTGTCTTCTCTTTACCCATTACATGTAAGGCAATAATAACATCATGGAGACAAAAAGAATGCTCTGTCCAATGCATCATTCAGATCTCAGAAGCTGAAGTTGGAGAAAGTTTCAAGATGTTGCATTTTCTTCATCATTGGCTTCATCACCTTCGGGTTCCACTGATTGCATACAATTGATTAACTTTTCTGGGGTTAAAATTCGTCCTGTCATAGGATCAATTGGACGGGTGTCCCGTGGCCCGCCTTTGTGTCCCATTGCCNTGTGTAAGTTTTTCCTTTTCCTTTTTTCTTTGGCAATTCAATTCGAACATGTGACGGCCAAATCACAATAAAATAATTTTACAATTGCGTTGCGTTCTGTCAGCAACAACAATGCATTTTATACAGGGAAACAGAAAATAGAAACCAATAAGATGCCCATAAATGGTTATAAGACTATGCCACCAACATTAATGCTATTATGACTTTAAAATTTAATCTAAATTATTAATCTAATAATGTGACATTTAACACAATTTAATAACATTAACTTGAGTGCAACTATAATAGCGGTATATTAGAACTATATCAGATGACTCATCGGTTAGCAAATTATTCGGAAGTTTTAATTCAAAAATGTATTATTATGCCACTAGTTTCTTATTTCAGATGAAGCAAGTTCGGAAACACCCAAAAAATATTTGAAAGAGACTTTAGATTGATGAAAAAGAAAGAGGAAGAAATTGTCTAAACAATTTGAACTGAAAATGACAACATATAAGAACAAATATCTAAACAATGGTAACTTATGGCATGGACCAAAGACCAAGAAAAACAGAGGAGAGATATGTTCACACGTAGCTTTGAGGTCAATGTGATACAATCAACCTGAGTTGCTGGAGAGAGACTTGAAAATCAAGCCCATCCAACATTTTAAGATCGATCCCAACTTTTTTAAATCAGCTAGTCTATTTTGGTTAAGTCGGTGACCTTTTGCAGGTATGGTATAGAAGAACAATTTTTCGGTACAATAGGTTTTTCCTAAAAACAGACTTGGGATAACCTTTCAATTACTAAATATAGTCCTAGTCTTTAAAGGGGTGGAGTGTTTTTTTTTTTTAAGTATATAGAGAAATTATTTACCTAATAAAATAAAATACTTGTAAGAAATACGTTCACACCTAGGTTGTTCAAGGTCAATATGACCTAATCAGCATGGAATAGGTAAAACTAATGCACTTGAAGATCAACCCAAGCGTGCCCAACAGTTTTGCTGTTAAGTGACATCAGGAAGAATACCTCCTGATTTCTTTTCAGAGAATAAATATTAGCAAGGGTTGAAACCCAATACAACAAAGCCACGCAATGACCTTATTTTGGACTCAAACTTGCAACGTTATCACTTCAAATCCGACCTTTTCATCGGAAAATTTATGCAGTGTTACTTACCACATTTCATATTGAATACTTCCAAACAACGACACTACTCTAAAGACATGAACATAATAAGAGAGAGCAGCACAAATGAAAGGAATTGAATTGAGAGAGCAGCACAATTGAAAGGAAATCGCCCACTAACCAGAATTGAACTATCCTGCAATCAACCACTAACCAAAATCGAACCCAAGAAGGAGCCGGTAGGTAGGTTCAAAAGAAAAGCCATTTGGTACAAATTTCATGTGTGCATCCCAAAAAGATAAGGAAACTAAGAAAGAGTCATTGCATCAAAAACTTGTAACTTACACAGAAAGATCGTAAGGTGTCTTCTCTTTACCCATTACATGTAAGGCAATAATAACATCATGGAGACAAAAAGAATGCTCTGTCCAATGCATCATTCAGATCTCAGAAGCTGAAGTTGGAGAAAGTTTCAAGATGTTGCATTTTCTTCATCATTGGCTTCATCACCTTCGGGTTCCACTGATTGCATACAATTGATTAACTTTTCTGGGGTTAAAATTCGTCCTGTCATAGGATCAATTGGACGGGTGTCCCGTGGCCCGCCTTTGTGTCCCATTGCCAGCATTGGAGGTGGAGGTAGCAAACCTGATCTGAAAAGTAGGCGCTGGACAGGCTCCGAAGGCTGCGCACCAACTGAGAGCCAGTATCTACAGAATGAGAGAAAACTCAGCTCAAATTGATTATATTACACCTTTACTTAGAAGTTCAGAACCACTTCTGAACCATTAATCAGAATATCTATACAAAAACTAATAGAATGACATTTTTCCCAACTGCATAAAATATGTTATCATTCACGTGACCTCAGCAATATGTGAACTACAGACAAACAAAACCACCGACACAATGATTTACTCGCACACACTAAAATAATCAATATAAGATCATAAAAATCAGTGGAATTACGTTTAAACAGTAAATACATGATTCCGTAGAAAAAAATGGATTTTAAAACATTTCACCAAGGTAAAAACACATGAGCCCCATTATTTCCGCTTGTTTAAGAGTTTACTATCAACAAAGTCAGAGGCAATCGAAGTTAACTAACACCAAGTTACAAGGCAATCGCTGAAAACTAATTCCTTGTAACCACTTACTTCACTGTAGTTCAGCTCGAGGCCAGATAAGTTGTAACACAAAGTTATACAACCTTGCAGAAAACTAATTCCTCCTTAAACTAATCCATACTGAATATTGAGCAAGAAGTCTAAAATTCACCACAAATTTCCAACGGACACAAGACTACATAAACATTCAGCAAGAATTGCATTGCTCGCATATGGAATATCTGTCTAAACATAAAAATTGACAAACAATGCGAAATATTGAAGCACTTGAAGTTGACTTCCTGTTAAGATAGTTTAAATTTTACTGGTCACAGTGTGTCATCTCATGATTAAAACAACTCCGAATGCAATTCTTCCCTGGAAATTGGAGACACAAAGAAACCGGAGTTCAGAGGAGAGAATCCTTGCAACCACTTACTTCACTCTTTCAAAGTTGAGACCCATTCGTTTACCGCCATCTTGACCTATATAAACAAATCAAACATACTGGAAAAGGTTAACAATTTAATAAAAATAGACCCCCTCCTCTGACCTATTTGACTTTAACTTGTAAGGAAAGTGATGCAAAGAAAACAATCTACATATTGACACACTGTTATTTAAGTCCTTTTGTACTAGTATAGTGGACTAGATTTTGTTATACAAAAAATAAATCAAATTAAAAAAATCAAATTTCTTTCCATTCCACTAAATATTCCTCAATTCTCATCAACCAAAGGGTCGTAAAAGGAAAAAATATAAAAGGAATATGGGAGAAAATAACATATTTTTGAAGCAAAGACATACACTCATCTGGTCATCAAGAAAACAAACAGAAGGAAACCAAAGATGATTCATTATTTGAAGCCCCAAAATCAACCACCAATGCCCAATTTTTGCTAGCAGAAGACACTGCAGCTTCCTGATAGCAAGCTTTTCATGTATTCTTAAATCTAAATCAAATATAAACCTAATATTCCTTTATTGTTCACATGCATATGTATGTAGAAAGGGGTAGGAATGGAAGAGGGGGACCTGGTAAAGGGTTATAGTAACCCAAGACTTCCAAATGCTTGCCATCTCTTGGAGATCTGCTATCAGCTGCCATTACTCTGTAAAACGGCTTGTTTTTGCATCCAAACCTTGATAGTCTAATTCTCACCACCATTTTCACTGCCTTTATTAATATTTACTGAGAAAATTCAGGACACTAGTGAGAACGAAAGAAACTGGAATACAAATAAGAGTTTTGGTTATTAAAACCCGCTCCGACATTAATCTTGCGAAGGGACATTAATCTTGCGAAGGGATCCAGTCAATGAAACAGTGCTGGCCATACAATACAATGATTATGCTGTAACATCTAATATCACTATAAAATTAAACAACACCCCTTTTTCGGGATTAAAAAAAAAGAAACAATAAAGACTTTCTCCAAATCCAAATGCTATTCTACAACACAACCACTTCGCCAACTCTACTGCATGGGAGTTGTGAAAGAAGAGAATAGAAAGCGAATATCAATTGTATATTACTTTGGTGCAATCTATAAGGTACATGAGAAGGTGTATTTATAGTACAAGAAAGTAGTGAGGTTTTCCAGTCTAACCGATGTAGGACAAACATATTATCATGATATACATTAACATCCCCNTATATATTACTTTGGTGCAATCTATAATGTACATGAGGAGGTGTATTTATAGTACAAGAAAGTAGTGAGGCTTTCCAGTCTAACCGATGTAGGACAAACATATTATCATGATATACATTAACATCCCCACTCAAACTCAAGGAGGTAAACTAGAAATCAACTTGAGTTTGGAAACGAAATCATGAAAACGGCCTTGGTGAAGATGTTAGTAGTCTGATCAGATGAAGAAACAAAGAGAAGATGAACTATGCCTCAAGTCACATGTTGTTGCTGCACAAANATCGAGTCAATGAAACAGTGCTGGCCATACAATACAATGATTATGCTGTAACATCTAATANACATTAATCTTGCGAAGGGATCCAGTCAATGAAACAGTGCTGGCCATACAATACAATGATTATGCTGTAACATCTAATATCACTATAAAATTAAACAACACCCCTTTTTCGGGATTAAAAAAAAAGAAACAATAAAGACTTTCTCCAAATCCAAATGCTATTCTACAACACAACCACTTCGCCAACTCTACTGCATGGGAGTTGTGAAAGAAGAGAATAGAAAGCGAATATCAATTATATATTACTTTGGTGCAATCTATAATGTACATGAGGAGGTGTATTTATAGTACAAGAAAGTAGTGAGGCTTTCCAGTCTAACCGATGTAGGACAAACATATTATCATGATATACATTAACATCCCCACTCAAACTCAAGGAGGTAAACTAGAAATCAACTTGAGTTTGGAAACGAAATCATGAAAACGGCCTTGGTGAAGATGTTAGTAGTCTGATCAGATGAAGAAACAAAGAGAAGATGAACTATGCCTCAAGTCACATGTTGTTGCTGCACAAAATAACAGTCAATCTCAATATGCTTGGTGCAAGCATGAAAAACATCATTGTGAGCAATCTGTATCGCACTCCGATTGTCAAGAGTAAAGAATAGTAGCACCAAAAAGAGAGACACCTAAATCTTCTAAGAGCCAACGAAGTCAAAGAAGCTCCTAGGTATTGTTAGAGCACGGTACTTTGCCTCTGTAATGGATCGAGAGATAACATAATGTTTCTTNCAAGCATGAAAAACATCATTGTGAGCAATCTGTATCGCACTCCGATTGTCAAGAGTAAAGAATAGTAGCACCAAAATGAGAGACACCTAAATCTTCTAAGAGCCAACGAAGTCAAAGAAGCTCCTAGGTATTGTTAGAGCACGGTACTTTGCCTCTGTAATGGATCGAGAGATAACATAATGTTTCTTAATGCGCCAAGATATGAGAGAGTTGCCCAAAAAGAAACAGTAACTAGTGATAAAACGACGATCAGTAGGATCTCCAGTCTAGTCAGCATCAAAATAGGCGCGTAACTCGAGAGATGAGTAAGTAAAGTAATTAAGACCATGAAATATAGTACGCTTAATATACCGTAGAATATAAAGAGCAACAGCATAATGAGTAGAGCGAGGGACAATCAAAAATTGACTGACAAGATGAACAACATAGGCTATCTTTGGGAGGGTAATAGTGAGATACACAAGACTACCTACCAACTGGCGGTAAATAATGGCCTCAGAGAAAGGTGTGTCATCAAGGGAGTAAGTCGACAATTTTACTCTAATAGGGTAGATACAATCTTGCAATCACCGAGTCCAGCATGAGTAAGAAGATTAGATGCATTCTTGGCCTAAGAGATATAATACCCACNTTTGGGAAGGTAATAGTGAGATACACAAGACTACCTACCAACTGGCGGTAAATAATGGCCTCAGAGAAAGGTGTGTCATCAAGGGAGTAAGTCAACAATTTTACTCTAATAGGGTAGGTACAATCTTGCAATCACCGAGTCCAGCATGAGTAAGAAGATTAGATGCATTCTTGGCCTAAGAGATATAATACCCACCGGAGTCAAACGAGATCTCAAGGCCCAAGAGGTAGATGAGAGAACCAGGATCCTTCATCTCAATGTATGTGTGGAAAAGATGTTTGAGATAAAAAATACCAGAAACATCATCCCCAGTGATAATCATATCATCAATATAGAGAAATAGTAGAGTAGTGTCACGCTCTGACTTACAAACAAAGAGATCCAAATCATAAGAACTAGAAAAGAAACCAAAATCTCCAATAGTAGCAATAATTTTTGAAAACTAGGCTTTATAGGCTTGCTTAAGGCCATATAATGCACAACGAAATCGACAAACCTGATGTGGTGAATGAGGATAGCCAATAGAAGGCTGCATGTAAACTTTCTCAGTAAGGTCACTATTAAGAAAGACATTTTTGACATCCATCTGATATAATTTTCAATGATAGGTCGCAGCAACCATAGTTGTCAAATCACGTATCAGAAGGCGTATCGCTTTTCAAAAATAGTGTATCATATCNTCTATAGGCTTGCTTAAGGCTATATAATGCACAACGAAATCGACAAACCTGATGTGGTGAATGAGGATAGCCAATAGAAGGCTACATGTAAACTTTCTCAGTAAGGTCACTATTAAGAAAGACATTTTTGACATCCATCTGATATAATTTTCACTGATAGGTCGCAGCAACCATAGTTGTCAAATCACGTATCAGAAGGCGTATCGCTTTTCAAAAATAGTGTATCATATCGTATTTGTATCGTAACATACATGCAATTTTAAATAATTATTAATAATATATATATATATAAATTTGTAAAAAAGTCATAGACTCATAATAGTATAGTATTTCATTAATATTCCACCAGCTATTCAAGTTCTCAACATAATTTAGTAATATCAAAATGTAAAAGACTCTAATTGAAACTTCTAACATCAACTGCTTGAACAACTTTAATATTAATCAAGAATTTTGAATTCAATTAAACAATATTAATAGCAGACTTTAATTTTTTTTTTAAACCATAACCACTGAAACAACATTATTTCATTAGCTAGTGATTTAAACATTATTTCATTATTTCATTTCACCCATAAAAAAATAAAAAAACAGAATCTTCACGTATCGGACGTATCATATCATATTGTACATATCGTGTATCNAAATACGTCATGTGGTGAAATGATATCATTTCACCCACAAAAAAATAAAAAAACAGAATCTTCACGTATCGGACGTATCATATCATATTGTACANACATTATTTCATTATTTCATTTCACCCATAAAAAAATAAAAAAACAGAATCTTCACGTATCGGACGTATCATATCATATTGTACATATCGTGTATCGTACGATATAGTGCAAAAACAATACAAAAATACAATACGTATCATTTTTTAAGTGTATTGTGACGTATCGTACAATAAGTATCGCATATTGTACGATACTAATAACTATGGCAACAACAACTAGTAGGCTTCGAACTGAAGTGAGACAAGCAACAAGAGCAAAAATCTTCCCATAATCAATATCATACTCCTATGTAAAGCCTTTGGCCACTAGACAAACCTTGTAATGCTCAATAGAACCATCAGAGTGAGGCTTGATCTTATAAATCTATTTACAACCTATAGCCTTTTGGTTAGGAGGAAGATTAACCAAATCCAAGTATGTGTGTTAGCTAATGCCTGTAACTCCTCTATCATTGCTTGCTGCCAATGAGAGTCAGAACTAGCCTCACGATAAGAGTAGGGCTCATGCTGAGACAAAACAGTGGAGAAACAATGATAATCATGCAAACGAACAAGAATGTTCCTTACCTAAGCAGAATGATGTTGTTGATGAGTAGGAGAATGCATATCACCAGGAAATAGTGTAGAGGATTCAAGAGCTGAGGCAAGATCACTATCAGTATGAAGTGGGGCAAGAGTAGAATCAGGATCAGGAGACAGGACAGAAGTCTCTGGTTGGTTTGTAAATGCGAGCTCAGATGAGTCAGGAAATGCTAGATGGTCCGTAGATGGGAGCTCAGATGAGCCTAGATGTTGGTCATCAGGATATAGATCCATAGATGGATCAATAAATAGAGGAGAAATAGGGGCAGACGAAAGCTGAAACTAAGACAACGAAAAAAACATCTTGTGTTCCCAAAATACATGTCGAGAAATATGAAGACGCTTGGAATATGGATTCCAACAACGATAACCCTTATGTTCAATCCCATAACCCAAGAAACAATAAAGCCTTGCCCGAGGTTCCAACTTGGTACGCTCATGAGGTTGGAGTAAGACAAAATATATACAACCAAAGACTTGAAGAGAGTGGTAATTAAGAGAAATGTCATACAATCGCTCATATGGAGATTAATTCCCAATAATAGGAGAGGCAATATGATTGATGGTATAGACAGCAGTAAAAGTAGTTTCACCCTAAAAACGCTCAGAACACGAAGATGAGATGAAAAGAGCACGTATAGTATCAAGAAGATGACAATATTTATGCTCAACACGTCCATTTTGTTGAGATCTGCCAAGACAAGAACGATGAGGAATAGCGTCATGTTGACTGAGAAAGTTAAGAAAGGTGGTGTCTCTATATTCCATGGCATTGTCAGATTTAAAGACTTTAATAGATCGTGAGAATTG